CCTCTGGTTCTTTGGATTTCAGCCAGTGGCCTGCTCTATTACCTGCCAATCCTGGGAGCCATCAACAGCCTGCCTTCATACTTGTCTGACCTGCCTTCCTGCCTGCCTGTTGGTCTTTCCTTCTTGTGGAGCCTGCCTGCCATCTGACCTGCCGATCTTGAATCAGCTGATCCAGACTTGGGACTCTCTCACCTCTACAACTGTGTGAGCCACTTACTTGGTATAAACTTCTCTCTCTATATTGGTTTGAACTGCAAGGTCAGTGGTCCAAACTCAACAGCTTGTCCTCGGAAACCCTATGCAGAACCGGTGGCACTGAACAACAACAACATCTATACATAAGTAAGTTTCAGTGGCTTTGATTCTCTAGAGTACCCTGTCTGAGACACCCTAGTGGTGGTGGTGATGGTGGTTGTGTGTCGTGGAGTTGGCTCTGACTCATAGCGACCATATACAAGATACCCGATAAACTAAAATATGTAAGAGTGGTACTGTATCTAATTCTTTATGTAATTAGCTCATAGAATAGAAAGTATTCAGAAAATGTTTGTGGAAAGCGAGCATGGTTGAATACATTAGCAAATGAATGAACAAACCAATGAATTCATCTCACCTTTTTCTAAACTGTTCCAGCCTGAGCTTTCTAATCTAAAATGGATCCATCCATGAAAACAAACACCGACTCTGAAAGTTGTCCTTAACTCCTGCACCTACTCCTCTGCCCTCATGCTCGTCCTTCTTGGCTTTTGTATTTCAGTCTGGGCCCCACTGTAGGCCCCTGCATTAGGACATGGATCTGAACCTTGACCATTCGTACTCTCCTTCCCAAATCAAAACTAATTTTGTACTTGACAGAGATGCTTACATCCCACTCCAAACCAGGATAATTGTGGAGAAGAAGTACTCAAAGGGCTCTGGGAACAAAACAAGAGAGCTGAAGATGAGTGAATTGAACCCCTCCCAGCTGGTCACCCAGAAATATATGAAACATAGTTTTGTTTAAGTTTACATTCTTAACGATCAGTGTCTGAAATAATCATCCCAGGTGTTTGTGAAAAAAATGCAGATTCCCAGTCTCACCTCTTGCCACATATTTTGAAACAGAAGGTGGGCCAAGAAATACATCTTTTTAACAAGGTCCAGTTTGTGAGAGACCCTGAAGGTCCACTGGGTACACACTGTGACTCATGGGGTTAGACTAAGAGGTCTCTTCCCACCATTATGTTCCCAGGGCTGGTAGGAGAGCAAAGTAGAGCTTGTGGCAAACAGGAGCCATAAACTCTCCATAAATTCCCCTGAGCACTCAAAAATACTTTTCATGTGTGGTCTGTTGTTGTTAAGTGTCATCAAGTCAATTCCGACCCATAGCGACTCAGTATAGGGGTTCCAAGGAGCGACTGGTGAGCTTGAACCAACAACTTTGTGGTTCAAACTGACCTTGCAGTTCAGTGCATTAACTCACAGTGCCACACCAGGACTCCTTCATATGTCATAGCTAGATCCAAATATGGACCCTGTAAGCTTCGCCTCCAAGAATTCACAAACTTGTGTAGTCCCCTTAACACAATGAATCTGGGCTGGTAGTGCCACTGTACTGGCCTGAGACCCAAGATCTAAAGGCCTGGCAACTTCTATTTACATAGCTGGGAGAGCTCTGAGCCAGTATAAAATCCTGTTATCTTGATGAAGACACATGTGGCGAATTCACACGGCTAGTCCCTGTGACCACAAGAGACAGTGAGAGAGATCCAGACATCCCAGTGTCCCCGCTGCCCCTACTTCCAACTGAGTGTCCATCTTGCGAGTTCCAGAGTAGTCAAGTTCCCAACAACCACAACCCCACTCTCAAGGTGAACAGAACTTGTCAGTTAAGCCCAGTCAACTCTAGTCAACTCACAGAATAACTAACTTACATAAAACTAGTTTTTACCATGTACCATAATTTAATTACTACATTTAAATATATATATACATATATATATATATACACACACACCTCAAGGCTTAGAAAAAGAACCAGTATATTATTTCTCATGATTCTGAGAACATGGTACACAATAACAACTAATTTTATCAAAACACATTCATTAATCCATTTTATCTTGACAACAGTACTGTGTTAAGAAGCGCAGGGTTTCATGTTGGGGCCCTATCCTGCTGAGTTTTCAGTGAGATGCCTGAACTAGTAGATGGCAGAGCTGCTCACTGATGTTGAACACAGGGCTATTTCTTCACAGGGTTCCCAGGACCCCTGAAGGCTCACTGGGGAGCAGAGTCAACAGGGGCCAATCAGAGCTATTTATAGAGAAAGCGATGACAGAGATGACCAGGTGTGAAGGTGGAGGATGTGATGGACTCTCCTTCAGATGGATGGAGGGGGAACGAGTCAAGAAGACAGATGAGGAATGGTGCCAGAGTGATTCAGCACAAAAAGATCTGAGAGCACAGTGACAAATAGTGGAAACAGCCATCACTGATCTGCTGGGAGATCTAGAAATGAAGGCACAGAGGCTGCATGAGAGAGCAGGGTCAGCCACTGACCACATGGCCAAGGCCATCAAGTCCCCCCAGGTAGCGACAACTCACACCCTCAGGTTGCAGGACCTGCTCCAAGAAGGCTCCGGCTCTCAGAACTGTCTGCATTGCAGGAAGTGCCTTCAGGAAAGACCTGAACTTTTCTAAGAACTCAACCACAGTGTGCCCTCCCAGGGATGTAGATCGGGACCATAGAGCACCAGGAATGCTGCCATAGTAGGTCTGACATCTGGCAATGGGTAACCCATCACACACCCTCCTCCTGCTTTCTGTCCCACTGAATAGTAAAAGTCATTCCCAGGGGCTCCCAGGGGTTGACATGGAATTACCATCCCTAGTATCACTCCTACCATCAGTCTCATCTTCAGCCCTGGATTCCCTTTCTGTGGTTGCACATGCCCTGAGGGATGCTGAAGGCCAGCGTCAGGCCAGACCCTCTGTCCAAAAGTCTTCAGGCTCTGGGCCATGGCCTTAGAAGAGGTCATGAGATCCTTGGAGGTGTCTATGTATTAGGAACAGAGATGGAGGTGTGCCCCTGAGGGCCATACGTCTTGTACCTCAGAGAGTGCCCAGGAGCCAGCCCCACTGCCACTCACTATGGGGACATGTTACCTCTGGATGTACATGAGGCTGAATGTGTCTGCGCATGTGTACACCTTACGTGGAGATACCCATGCCCCTTGCGGGGGAAGCCTCATCCATGCATAGCACTTATGGGATTGGTGGAGAATCTTACAGCCAGGAAACCTCCCGAAGGCAGGGTTGTGAGTTGCAAAAGAAAAAAAAAAAAAAATGGGGAGAAATATCTTTTTTGAACAAGTTCTCCCTCCCCCATTGCAAGGGTTGGAGTGAGTTAGTAAACAACCTCTCTATACTTACTACATGGACAAGTATTCAGAATCGGAGGAAACTCCTTTGATGAAGGCACAAACGGGAAGAGAAAGGAAGACATTGTGGAGACAAGTTGACAACACCATGGTGAGACACAGTGAGCACATGCACATCGGGGACATCCACTTGGGGCTCTGGCCTCAAGCAGATGGGTTTCCTCTGAAAATGCTGGACCTGGACCCAAGGCTGCACTTGGCTTATGGAGGAGCTAGGGACTGGCGGGTTCTGCCAGAATCCACATACGTGGTCATTCTTGCTAGGAGAAGATATCGACAGGCCACCAAGCAAGGGACTGTTCTCTGTGTACAATTCTTCCTGGGAGGCCCATGGGCAGAGTGTTCATGCTTGGGAGTGATTCCAGGAGCATATTAAAGCTATTTTATGATCTAGGTGATTATGGACTGCAAGAGTAAGAAAATCCACAATATGGTTATATTATTAATCATAACCATAATTAGATCTTACATTTCAATCATACTTTTAGTCATTCAAAGTTAAGTTTTCATCTACAGCTTCTCTTATACACAAAACAATCTTTAAGAAGGAACATTTTAGTAACCCCATTTAGCAAGTGCAGAAATGGAGGCACAAAAGGGCTAAATGACTTGCTAACATTAGCTGTTGAGTTGAGACTAGAACTCAGCTCTCTAAACTATTGTCTGTCTCATGTAGAAGTTCTCCACCTGGCTTGCACATTAGATTTGACTGGAGAGGTCTTAAAATTCAGGCTGCATATCCCTCCCACTCAGACCATTTAACTCAGAACTACTGAGGATGGACCCAGGCACTAAGAGTTCTTGAAACTCCCCAGATAATTCGCCAGCCACTCCTTGGAAACCCTATACAGGGTCGCTATGAATCAGAACCGACTCAATAGTACTTAACAACAGGTGATTCCAGTGGGCAGCCAAGGTCAAGACTATCATCATAACTACACCAGGAAGCTTGTTGCAAATGCAGAATCTCAGGTCCCATCCAGACCTACTGAATCAGTCTGAATTTCAACAAGATGCCCAGGTGATTCCTATGCACACTAACATTTGAGAACTGAGGGAGTACATCCAGAAAGGCCCATCAGCCCGTTTGATCTGGTGAGGGGGGCTCTAGGTCAGTTGTCAACTTTTTCATCATAGCTTAGCCTGGGCTTAACTTGTAAGGTGGATTGTCATAGCTTGTGAACAAAACAAGCTTAGATTTGGTAACTCTTATTTCAGACTCCTTAGGAGCTCTGGTAGCATGGTGGTTACGAGTCGGGCTGCCAACCTCAAGGTCAGCAGTTCGAAACTACCAGCGGCTCCGTGGGAGAAAGATGAGGCATTCTGTTCCCATAAAGATTTACAGCTTCGGAAACCCTGTGCAGGGTCACTGTGAGTCGGGATCTGACTCCACGGTACTTAACAACAACAAACAACAACAATATGGTTCAGACTCCTTAGAAACAGAAGAGGGGAAAGTTTTTCAGGTTGGGGATACCACCTGTTTAAAAACAGAGTACCTGTAGTGTCTTCCCTGCAGACATCCTTCATTGACTGTGGATGGGCCTCCCTCCCAGGCTGCCTGCTTGGCTGACTCACCTTCTAAAGTCTTGGATGGGGACACCACTGGGCTCTTCGTCTCTGACTTGGTTGGACTCTGCACGGGAGAAGCAGGTGCTGACTTCACAGGCGAGCCAGGCCCTTCTGTGGCGATTTCTTTCTCTCCTGAAAATATAGAATGCCATCTCAGGATAGAGATCACCTAGAGATCACATAGGCAAACAGAGCCTTTTTTTTTTTTTAAACTGGTTCTTTCTACTTGGTTACTTCTCTTGGCTGATAACGAGCTTTCTGGCTGAACTTAGCTACATGTGTTGTCATTTTAGCTGTTGTTGAGTCCACGCTGGACTCATGGTGACCCCATGCACAATGGAATGGAACACTGCGCCTGGTCCTCTGTCATTCCCATGATTGGCTGCAGATCCAACTGTTGTGATCCATAGAGTTTTCACTGAGGGCCTGGATGGTGCGAACAGTGAGGTACTGAGTTACCAAGGGGACAGGTAAGTGAGGATTGAAAATGAAAGCAAGCAATGGCTGGCTAGAACCATGAGGGCCCTGCCCAGCTAGGAGGAAATGGATCTAGGTCCTCTGGAGAGGAGTGGCTGCTAAGAGAAATTCAACATAAGGAGGATATCCCCCGAAGACTTTTCAAAAGATTTTAATTACCAGTATGTATTATGATATACATACTGGGAATTAAAGTATTACCAGTATGCCATACTGGTGTGGCACTGTGGGTTAATGCATCAGACTGCAAAGCTGTTTGAACTGCAAGGTCGGTGGTTCAAGCTCACCAGCTGCTCCTTGGAAACCCTATACAGGGTCGCTATGAGTTGGAACTGACTCGGTGGCACTTAACAACAACAATTATGACATTGGAGTGCTTTGTGGTGCTGTAGGATAAGGACTGGTCTGCTAACCACAAGGTTGGTGGGTCAAACCCACCTTGGAAAACCTATACAGGGTCATTAAGAGTTGGAACCAACTTGACAGCATATAACAACAACATTATAACATTATTTTCCTTGGGTTCCAAAGTACAGCAGAGAGAATGGTTCTAGAAGACTGTGGGATCAGTTAAGCAAAGCCTCAACTGGGCTATCCAGGTTTTAGAGCCACTCACCCAAGAACACTGACTCAGAAGCATTCTGCCTATGCTGTTGGGGAGAAAGGGCCTTAGGATCCGCCACCTTGCCACCCTCACCCCACCAGAAATCACTAGCCTCTTCAAGATGACAAAGTGGTGCTTAAGCCAAGTTGTGAGGGTAAAAAAGAGAGGATGATGGGAAAGCACCCAGGAAGCAACAGGCTCCAAAAGTCACTCATAAGGGTGCACCCTCTACTGGGTGGTGAAGAAACCTCACTGTTACAGGCACCTGGTACTGTGGTGCTTTGGGAAATTAGACGTTATCAGACGTCCACCCAACTTCTGATTCACAAACTTCCCTTCCAGCGTCTGGTGCAAGAAATTTCTCAGGACTTCAAAACAGGTCTGCGCTTCCAGAGTGCAGCTATTGGTGCTTTGCAGGAGGCCAAGTGAGGCCTATCTGTTGGGCTTTTTGAAGACACCAACCTGTGTGCTCTCCATGGCAAACATGTGACAATGATGCGGAAAGACATCCAGCTAGTATGCCACATATGTGAATGGAGAACAGCGTGCTTAAAAATCTACCATAAGGGAAACATTTCATTCTTTACACACAAAAAAATTCTCTTCTTCCTGTGATTGGTAGTTCTGAACATTAGATTATTTCCCCCCATGGGGTCAAAAGATACTTAAATACATGATTGTGAATGGAAAATAGCAAACAGAAATCACGTATTGGCAGTTTTTCCATTTGTGTGAATTTTAAATATAAATTTGGGGACATAAAGCATTAATGCAAGTCAAAATGCTTCAGTGAACACATTTAAGCAGTTCAATTTATAACAATTATAAATAAACTTGTAAAATTTTTCTGGACAATGTCAGCATTTGGACTTTAAAAAAACAAAAACAAGTACATTTCTTATTGATGGCAACCAAGTGGTGTTTGTAGCATTTTTATTATATGGTAGACTCCACCCTTTCACTACACTTTCTCAGAGTTGTCCTGCATGCAAGTATGTGTTTTTAATGTTGTCTGTCCTGTAAGTTTGCTATTAAGATGCATTAAATTATTAAAGCCATTTGAACTGCAAGGTCGGCAGTTCAAGCTCACCAGCAGCTCCTCGGAAACCCTATACAGGGTCGCTATGGGTCACAATCGACTCGACAGCACTTAACAACACAACAACAAACTATTAAAAAAACAGAGAGTGCATGGGAAAGAAGAGGACCCCTGTGGGAATTCTGATATGACAGAGGATGAGAGGACACATTACAACTGAGAGGAGGCAGACAGGAGCAGGTGAGCCCATCACAAGTACAACCGTTCCCTACATGGTGGTGGTTTTCTTAAGTGCCATCACGTTAGTGGTGCTTGTCCTACAGAATATTGGATAGGGAGGAGAGAAAGCAGGTCTAAAGAAGAAAAAAGTTGGAAATGGCTTTTGAGAAGGCACAACTGTGAGGGCCAGTTACACCATGGGATAAGTCAGGCTTTTTCAATGGAAAGAGGCTAAGATGAAAACCCAAACCACTGTCATCAGGTGATTCACAGCAGCCCTACAGAGGGCTTCCAAGTCTATACATCTTTACTGAAGCAGACAGCCTCAACTGTCTCCTGCAGAGAGGAAGGTGGGTTTGAACTGCCAACTTTGTAGCTAGTAGTCCAGTGCTTACCCTACAGTGCCACTAGAGCTCCTCCTTAAGAAGCTAAGATGAGTAGGGTTCAAATTTTGCAACCCATCCAGCCTCTCTAGAAAGCAATATGGCACTTCCTCAGAATGTTGGAAATAGAAATACCTTATCATCCAGCAATTCCTTTATTTGATATTTATCCACAAGAAATACGAGTCATAACATGAAAAGATATATGCACACTAATGTTCACAGCAGCACTATTTACAATATCAAAAAGATGGAGACAGCCTAAGTGCCCATCAATTGAGGAATGGATAAACAAACTTTGGTACATACACACAATGGAATACTATGCTATCTTGAAGAATAACAAGGAAGCTGCAAGCCACCACATAACATGGATGAACCTTGAGGACATTATACTGAGTGAAATTAGTCAGTCACAAAAGGAGAAATACTGCATAGGACCACTACTGTAAAAGACTAAGAACCCATACTAAAATAGGGGAAAAATTATTTGCTGCTTACTGGGATGTGTGGGGAATGGGGTGAGGGGAGGGAGGGGAAGGTGGCACACAGGGTAGGGAATAGACACAGGATAGTTTGGGTGCTGGGAGGGG